GAAATGTGCCGTATCAAACTGATTTTTGCATCCGTTTCCATTTTTTGTGTACAATTTACAGTCAATTAAACTACATGTATTCTATTACCAAAACACATACAGACGGACACACACACACACACATACAGACTTACAAACAAGCAAAACAACTTACAACTTACAAACAAGCAAAACAACTCCCACAAAAACAATTGAAAACTTTATTCTCTGGTTCAATTTACAAGGTTCAACTCTGCTATTGCTCTGTAATAATATTGGCTGCATCTGCAGCCATGGAAATTTTAAAATCACACAAAATTTCATGATTTTAAAATCATATCCAGTTGCTTCAGTAACTGCTTTTTGGCGTATCGTATTACCTGCATCTCTAACCTTCATCGACAGAAACAATCATAATTCATATTAAAGGTTTTGTACTTTGAGCCAGTCAAATAAAAGTACTGTTGGTATTAAAATGGACTGCTATGCTGAAATTTGTACTTGAATGAAAAGTTGCCCTCACCCACCCCAAAATTTAATCTTGCATCTGTATGGCGTTTTAATAGTGACATCTAACAGACATAAGTGGTAGTGCATAGGTATGGTGGCCTATGTCAGTTTTACAGTGGAGAAGTGATGACACATAGCAGGAGGAACTGACAATGCAGCATCTTTGTTGTGAGTTAGGTAAAAGCACCTTATATAATAGACCAATTATAAATGGAAAATCTTAAATCTATCTGATCATTACAGAATGGCACATCAACTTAATATTGTCAGCACAAATTTTACATGAAAAAAAATACATCCCCTTTTGTTCACGCCAGCATACTCCATTTACAACTGCATGGAGATTTCTATGATGCGATGTCAGACCTCATCCAATGCTGGGACGTTCCTGTTAGGCTGTGCCAGACGACAGAACACACATAGGGATAGTTCACGGGCATCCTCCAGCTGGGCAATGGAGAAGGCCTTCCCACACTGCTCACACTACAGAATATAGAGAGAACTGTTACAACCTGGGAATCTGCTGATATAGTAGCTAAGTTTATATCATAGATCTACTTTGTCTGAAAAAAAGTTGATAACAAATGCTTCCAAACTGTTATACATTACAGCGTGCAGTGTGCAAGCATGTCTAGCCATCAGATGCTTAACCAGACATTGAGTGAGTGCGTGAGCAAGTTGTATATACACTGTACTTAGACAACAAAAGTTTTTACAACTCATGATGTGTTTACTCACATTAACCATCTTGAGTCCAATGGCCCTCCTCTGTTCCAGAACAAAATGGAATGTGGTCTGTGTCTTCAATGTTCCACAATCTCATGGTCTTATCCTGGGGAAACATACAAAACTATTTCACACCTCTGTACTCAATTTTCATTGTTCAGTTCCGTGAATGGAATATTTCCTAATTGTCATACAAATTGTTAGATAATGCCTTGGGAATGTATTTGTTTGATATATAAAAGTTAAACATGACTATGAACCACGAGCCCCAGACAATGCATACATTATTACCAGTACATCATGCATCATTATACATTTTAATTTAAAGTCTGACCTTTGAACAGGAGATGACCCATTTCTGGTCCTCACTAAAGCTACAGTCTGTCACCCAATCTGAGTGACCCTGAAACACAAGAGACAGTATGTTTATTTCAAAGGCTCTGTAGACATGATCAAACCATCACATTAGGGTATTTCTTTTGTATTCGGTCAACTTACAGGTGTACTAACTTACTAAACAACAAGGTAAAATCAACGAGATTTCTTTGAATTACATGTACATTTGATTCACCTAATAATAACTTTTTCACGTGTGCAGTACTGTAGAAGAAAAATATACTAAGTACACTGTATATCAATTTCATGATCTTTATGCATACTTGTACCAAGGAGCTTCAAATATTGAAGGTCCTTGCTTGTATTGTACCTCTAGGTTCCTGATTTAATAAAGAATTGGTACCTTGAGTGAGAGTTTGTGCATACATGTCTCCATGTCCCACAGGGTTACTGTCTGGTCATAGGACCCTGACACAAGCAATGTTCCTATGGAGAGGGTCAAAACATTGTCAAATGGTACTGGCAATACATGCACATGCACATGTATATATTTGGAAGTTACTTGGTAAATTCAAGCTTGTGAGCTCCATCCTACTTGATTCACTAATCATGTGCATATCGATACAGCTTTACTAGTAACTTAATTTAGTGAAAAAGGTAGGCAGATATAAAATTCGAGTCACTTTTATTGAATTAAAGCCTCTATGCACATGTAGTTCTTGAAATGATAAGAAAGCAGAATCATAGCCTGTTCAGCACTCTTCCCTACGTCATGGACCTTGGTATTGAAGTTAGCACAACCACTTTTGTTCTTCTTAAGCTACAGATAATCCAGAAGAAGCCCATACACACCGTCTCTGCTGAAGTCACAACAGCTGACTGACCCCTCATGTCCTTTAGCCAGGGAAACTGGTCCTTGAGATCTGTGGTGGCAAGAAGGATCAGCATCAACAACAAACAAGATACCAACCAAATATCCAGGATATTTGGAGATTTAGAGACAGGGAAAGCATTTATCACATTTGGCATGAGACCCGACTGACATACTGCCATGCTCATCATTATCTACATGTTTTGTCCCATAATCCTTTGCTGTACCTGAACATGCCTGTGGAGATGTCCCACACCTGCAGAGTTTTATCCCAGGATGCCGTGCAGAGCCAGCGCTCATTCCTGTCCATACAGCATGACGAGATGACATTGATGTGACCTCTAGAACAACACAGATCAACGTTAGGAACACCTACTTAATAGGCCAGGTCAACAATGAAAATCTGCTACATACTGCACATGTTAGGAATGGCATCCAGACAAGTATGCTACTCTTATTCTCCATCACATTAAACAAGGGGAGACAGTTGCCATCAGGAATGGATAACTGCAATTCCAAATTCAGCTGCAAGGTGGCACACATGTCATGCTGGTATCAAATGAGGGCATTCAGCACCAAGGACAACACTATTGCTATATTATGACTAAGCAATACAAACAAAGATCATTTCCTACAGATATTAAAATGTGTTTAACCACATCATGCATTTTTTTTTACATTCTACAAATAAGTGCTGGGCAAAAAAAAAAACATGTAATATTACTTTTCATCTGTTATTTTTGATTAGATGATAATGTCCCTTACTCTATCTTCACAGTTGTTCTTTTTGACTCCAGGTCCCACAGCTTGGTGGACTTGTCCATAGAAGTGGTGCAGATCCTCTCATCATTGGGTGTGAATGAGCAGGATGTGATGGTACTTTTGTGCTGGTCTAGGGTTGTAAAAACAACAAAACAATTTGGACGGTAACAACTCATGAATTTATGAATTTTCTGGACTTTATCTTCTGTGCTTAATGTGTGTATGTTAATCACAGAAAGGCAGACAACCTGCAAAAAGAGAAAAGATGCACAGTAATGACCTGGACCGTACCTTTCAAATGGTGCAATTGTGTTCCCTCTCCTGTGTGCCACACACTCACAGAATGGTCCAGGTCAGAACCAGACACCACCATTTTGCCGTTATGGGAGAAGTGACAGCAAGTCACAATGCCGTCATGTCGACCCTGCCACTGTGGGGATATAGAATAGGAGTAAATTCTTATGTCCTAACTTTTATTATGTTTCAGTGGGTATGATTGAAAATTTTTCCAAATCTAATATGGCCTTAATGCTATAACACGCTTGTCCACCAATATGACATATTAGATATGTAATATTTCATCTGATGTTATACTGATATAATAGTATCTCAATGTCAGCTGCTCAAATGTTTATGAAGAAGGTCAGAAAAATGTTTGGAATCAAAGGATGTATGTTTCTTACCAACATGGTGCCTGTCTCTGTGTCCCACAGTCTCAAAGTCTTGTCCCAGGAACATGTTACAAACCTGAAGATAATCAAAGCTGATGTCACTTCATATTCTTCCAGACATCACCACAAGATTTGTGAAATCAAATGTAAAAACTTGCATAAGACAATGCATGTTTTGGGAAAAGTTGGTTCTACGTTGGAGTTTGACTCCAAGGTTTCTATGGTTTCATACCTTGTATTGTCTGGGCTGATATCCCCTGATGTGATGTACATGTCATGACAGTTGTAAGTCTTGAGAATGGCACCAGTGTCAATATCCTGGAATATGAAAACAATTCAAAAGTGAATCAACACCTTTTAACTTTTTTAGACAATAGAATTGAAAGCTCCCTGAATCAAAAAATATGCATAAATATGAGTCCAAGAGTGGAGAATGTAGCGTTATAGCCAGTATTAACATTAGTTTCTTGTACTTTGACTCACCCATATTCTGGCAGTCTTGTCATTTGATACGGTGAAGATTTTCTTCTCCTGACAGCACAGCTTACACCTGTTTACACATTCAGTGTGTCCTCTCATCACCTTCACTTTCACCTGTAGAAGACAGAAACAGGTCACGCACCTGTGCAAGAGGCAAACACCTGTACATTTCTTATAGCACCTGTATTTTCACCTCTGTGCATGTCTCTACCTGTCACGTATCCACGAAAGGCATTTACCTACAGTAACACAGAAAAAAGCATTATGATGATGTGGCATTTGTTATGCTGTGGAAAGTCTTCTGTCTTTCAAATTCAATGGATGTCTAGTCATACAACGTTGTTCAATGCATGCCAAAACAGAGAATCAATGTCATAAGGAACACTTGATACAGTAACATTTTAAACTTTACCCCTAACAGATCGAGACTGAATATCCTGCCACCCTACCCCATCTGAAGTCTCTTCATATTCCTCCCCCCACCAGGGGATGGGACTCTCCCCCAGGGCAGAGTCCGAGTCGTACGCCACTGCCATGGTCCCTGTTCTCACTGATACACTGAAGGGACCAACCATTTCTCACTAATACTGAAGGGGGGGGGGCATCACTGAAGGTGTCACATGGACTACATAATTGTACTGTGTACATTCCCTTTCAGTAATAACATTCAATCAACAAGTTGAACAAGTTGCTTAAATACTAGGCCATAAACGTTAACAAATCAGAGGGAGACATATGCAGTGTCATGTACTCTAACTAATTATAAGCCAGACTTCTGGACTGAAGTGCAATAATGAAAGTTCCCTAGCAGAACACAGCTGGATACACTTGTTTGTGAACTGGTGTGAAAAAACTTGAGAAGCTGCGCCAAAACAGGTAACCCAACACTGGACTTGAGGGAAATAGGCTTGTTTTCTTTCACTGTATGAAACTCAATATCCATCAAATTCTCAAAACACTTTTGAGTGAACAGACTTCAGTTTTAGAAACATTTTAAGCCACTCAGATCAGAGACATGTTGGTTTATTGTTTGTTAATGGGTTAAAAAGTTCAGAAGTGTTCAGCCTCATACAAAAGGGATATAGTTTAAATTCTATTGAAGAGAATTTGCTTTAGTACAGTCTAACTATATTTTGACTATGATAAATATAATCCCCAAAACAGCTAATAAGCTAATTACTTCAACCCCAATGGAGTGAAGTGTTATTTTTGGCTTGTCTGCGTGTGAGTGTGTGTTTTGACCTACAGGTATGTGAAGATGATGATACCTGCCATCTATGAGTCTGATGACCTAATGTTTGATATGTGCAATCATGCAACTAAAAAAAAAAACCCTTCCACTTATCTGGCCTCCTTAAGATTAAACTGATAGGTGCATGGAAGAGAGCCTGTGTTTCACCATAAATTTGACAGGATCCTGCCAATAACAGAATATTTTGCACTATTGACAGGATCATTTTGTCAATAGCCCGGGCCTCACCATCTCCAACCCAAGATGTCAGTGTATCTAACTGCAAGACGTTACAGCTTATAGCAGTTATTTGGACTGTCTATCGTCTTGACTGTGAGACATTTTCTTAAGATCACAGGAGACAAGTACTGGAGACAGTTGAAACCCTTAGAGCGGTGGCCTTCGATTCTTCACCTGAGCTAATTCCTCATGTTCCCAAACGCCTGACGCCGGTGGTAAACTCTTCTGATCCAGGTCAAGACCCTCCTCGATGATCTCGATCGCCAGCGGGTCCACTTCAGTCATCGTTAGAGCCCCTTGACCGATGATAATTGGCAGAAATCCTTATGTTGTGAAAACTGAAACTTCCGCGTTTCTGTTGTTGCCAAGTTCCAGATTGATATCGCAAAACGGTCTTTTCTGACGTCATTATGTCGTAAATATGAACAATTAGAAAAACATAAGCGTTTTGGAGACAATGAGATAAATAGAAGCAATCTAATAAGAAATTTTCTGTTAGATAATAAAGCGGAATTGATTTTTGGGACACGTTTATGCCGTAATAAGTAACTTAATGCTCATGAAATGTCTCTATTTGGATTTTACGGCATGCCGTAATTCAGTTCGTCCTTATTTTGCTCCAAGATGGAGGACGACGAAGCTACCGAAGGTACGAATTTTACAAAACTGTCGCTTTTTATTAAGAACTATTCTGTTTCTGCAGTGCATTTTCAATCAGATCGCAAGAGGAATTGCCAGAGGATGTTTCTGTGAAATTGTAGGACACTGTGATATCGTATTGGTGACTTGATCGCATTTTATTTTAAAGCCCCTCGTATTTTTTCCTGATGACGAAGTCATGAGATTAGCGAAACGAAACCTTGACATGATCCGTATTTTGCTTGATAAGTACAAGTACAGAAATTCAGGGGATTTCTGGGGTGCAGCAGATTTGTTTTCCTAGTGTCATCAACAAATCATTGACCTCCATCAAAATACTACCACTGTGGTAACATTTTGCACATGTCAAACACCGAAAATTATGTCCCTTTATCTGGAACGTGTCAGGATCCTTTAGGTTGTGTCAAAATTCCTGACATATTGGTCCTAGAAAGGTTGAAAATACGATAGTTTTGTGTTGTCCAACTTCATGATTTGTATGATTCTTTATGCATATGATATAAATTTATTTCCCCATGATATGGCATGGGAATTCTCATCTAATTAGATCCAACTGTTAGTAACGTTAGCTATACCCTATAGAGAAGAAGATCGCATGAGTGTAACACGTTATGACCTTATGACATACATTGTAATAATTTGACATGCATCAAAAAAGCTTCAGTAGATTACCTACTATTTTGTTCACATAGATGTAATGAAGTGGTGTAAACTGATGTTGATGATGTTGCAGATATTTGTCGGGTGTGTCGGTCGGAGGGGAGTCAGGACAAGCCCCTGTACCACCCCTGTGTGTGCACAGGCAGTATCAAATACATCCATCAGGAATGGTGGGTACATGTACTGGGGTACTGGTAGTGCTATCATCTCATTGTAGACTTCTATGGTTTGGGAAATGTATTATCTATGTTCATCTAATGTATGACTGTAAGACGTGGAGTTAAGGGTATGCACATAGAAAGAAGCAATTCAGAATATTAGATAAACAAGTGCATATATATGTGTGTGTTAGTTTTCTAGTAGTATAGCCCAAAGCATTTGCTAAGGTTGGATGTAAGATTGATTAATTTGTACCCAATTATATAATTGATTAGTTTGTATCCAATTATCATCTGTTGTTGGGTATGTCTCTTACATGTTCCCTATGAGTATGACTTCCACCTTATGATTGTCAAGTCAGTATGAGCAATGTGTTAGCCTCTTCACATTTTGTGTGTATTTCAATGCTGTTGGATTAATAACACTGACATGTAATGTTCCTTTGTTTTTCCCTACAGTCTAATCCAGTGGTTGAAGCATAGCAAGAAGGAATATTGTGAACTATGCAAGCATAGATTTGCATTCACTCCAAGTAAGTCGCATTAATTGGTTTCCACTTAAAAAATTGTGTCTACACTTGGAATAACAACTATAATCTATAATTACATCAACTGTCAATCATGTAAGTTTTACTTTTGTAGTCATCCTGTACATGATGAATATGTTAGACCATGTACTATTGCTGCTGAGCTAACAACATGTATCTGTTTTCATTCCTTTGGACAGTTTATTCACCAGACATGCCAGCAACACTGCCTATTAAGGACATTGTGAGCGGGTTGTTCACAAGTATAGGCACTGCTGTACGGTACTGGTTCCACTACACACTGGTGGCATTCGCCTGGTTAGGAGTAGTACCTCTTACAGCATGTAAGTGTTTACTGTGTAGAACTAGAGGGTTAGATAGGTTGGTTTATAGTAAAAACATTGTACAATATAAAGGTGATGTCAAATATCTTCTTATTACCTGTATTGAGCTATCCCTATGGCTATAGTCACATTTGATATTGGGACAGGAGCTGATCTTGAGTTATTGCAAATTTGGTGACATTGAACACCTAGACCATTCAGTGCCTCTGTTTGATGATTTTTTAACATTTCCTTCCTCGCGTAGGTCGAATCTACAGATGTCTGTTCACGGGCTCTGTCAGCTCTCTTCTGACTTTACCACTGGACATGCTATCAACGTAAGTACCCACTCATTTCTAAAACACTTTATTACTCATCTATTTTAGTTTTACGCACCTTGACATCTAAGGTATCTAAGAACAATGTGTTCAACCTCCTTAGTAAAAATGAGCAATGTCTTGCCAGACACAGTAGACAGAATTTAACTTACTTTGTCTTCTTCAAACCTCTTGTGGTCAATACCTTGACTGATGTTTTTACCACCCTTGACAGCTCAGTTTCTTGTTGTTGTTCTTCAGGGAGAACTTGATGTCAGACTGCCTGCAGGGCTGTTTTGTGGTGACATGTTCCCTGTGTGCATTCATCAGCCTGGTGTGGCTACGGGAACAGATTGTCCACGGGGGTGGGCCTCAGTGGCTGGAACAGCAGAACAACCAAGAGGAGCCTGCAGCACCAGTAAGCCTTTTACATAGGGGACCACATTTACTCAGTCATGGAGCTATAATTGAATAAATAAGCCATAACATACATATAAGTGCCTGTCATTGGCAATATATATATATGTCTGAGTAAGGTTTGGCCTTGATTTTTTCATTTATTCTTAACCCAAGGCCGTTCTTTTTTATCTCATCAAGGCTGCTCCAGCAAACAACGCCCCACCCCCACCTGCGGCCCCACCCCCGCCGGAGGATGAGGATGGTATAGGCCTGGACAATGCAGATGCAGGTGACATCTTTGATGACACGGATGAAGAGGGTGACAACAACGCAGGTGATGGGGAGGGAGATGACCCCAACAATGGTGCTCAAGGTACATAGAACTATCATTGTCATCATGTTTCTATAGATTTGCTATGTCTTGGACCACATTTTCTTTCTGCAGCTGTCTTTATATCTTGATATGATGATGATGGACTATCTTTAGGATTTGTGTAGCATTTTCTCCCTAATTGTCTTGTGTTTGTGTGTTATTCTACCTACAGATGACGTGAACTGGAATGCCATTGAGTGGGACCGTGCTGCTGAGGAACTGACCTGGGAGAGGGTACGTCTCACTAACTCAGTTACTGGGATCAGAGAGTAACATCTAGTGTTAGTTTTGCCGATGTCTTCAGTCAAGAGGAGGAACTAGACCTCTCTGATAAGTATATTTTGTATACCTTTCAGAGATCATAAACTTGATTTAACATTAGTTTAATAACTGAGTGAAACTTCTTTCCTCAGATGCTGGGATTGGACGGCTCTCTTGTGTTTTTGGTGAGTGGCTAAATTCATGAAATTATACATTCTTTGTACTTTTCCTAGTTTAAGATATAAAGCTAAACATTTATGTTTGTGAGTAACATGACAGATGACTGATAGATGCTTTATTAACTGAAAATGACCACAATAACAATCTTTTCTTTTTGGTTGCAGGAACATGTATTCTGGGTAGTGTCTCTGAACACCCTCTTCATACTAGTGTTCGGTAAGGAAATTGTACAATACCCTCTATACTGGTTACATATACATGTACATGTACACAAATAAGTAATTTGAAAACAGTTCATTCTAGGCAGGTCTATGGTTAAATATTAATGCAAGGGATACATCTTGCATAGAATATACAATTTGTTATAGAATTTTTAGGTGTTTGTGACGGGAAATGTTAACCTTTTTTTGTTTTTTCCATGTAGCATTTTGCCCATACCACGTGGGGCATTTTGCAGCAGCAGCAGTGAAAATAGATGACTATGTAAGTAGAGTCTTAGTTAATTTTATAGTCTATAAGACTGATGGAAATTTATATTCAACATGTAGTTTGAAGACAAGTATGTCTATTTTTTAATCTGGAAGTTCTTCTGATCATGACCAAGTCTGTTTGTGTGTTTGTAGCTGGTAGCATCCCAGTTTGAGGGCCTACTGACCACCATGATTGGCTACCTCATCCTGGCCACAGCACTGGTCTTCAGTCATGTATCCTTACTGCTATTGTGGGGTGACCAATGTGTGGTTTTGTTCTTTATGTCAACCATAGTGACTGAGGGTCATATGGTATAATTTTGTTATCATTTAAAGTTAGAAAATTTCAGTAGTTATGCTATCAAAGATAAATGGAGATTGAAATACCTGCTTTGTAGAAATCTTCATCTTGACTAAAAGTCATGTGCGATTCCTTAACCTCTCTGCAGGCCATGGCTTCTTTTCTAGGTTTCCAAAGGTGAGTGTAGCTTCAGGCCTATAGGAGAAATAGAATAACATGAAAAGTAATTAATACAAAGTTTGTTGTTCAATTCTGTAGAGATAGAAGGAGTACTTGCATGTTCTTATTGTCAATGTTCTAAACACAAATGCAAATGTACAAATGTTCATGTTGAATTTTTTTCTAGGGCCAAGAGAGTTCTAGGAATTTGCTATGTAGTTGTAAAGGTAAGGTGACATCATGCACATTTAGAGATTTATGATATGTGTCAAATATCCTTTTTTCACATAGCCCTACTATTGAGGTCATTTGATAAAGCATTTGTCGTCCATGGCTCTCTAAGAATTTAATATTGCATGAAGTATTGGATTGGTATTTCCTGGAAATAATGTACATGTATATCATTCCTTGTACTTTTGTCTCCACAGGTTTCCCTTCTAGTAGTGCTGGAGATAGGTGTGTTCCCATTGGTGTGTGGCTGGTGGCTGGATATATGCTCCTTGGTAAGTTAGTTCACTTCCAGCTTTTTGAAATGATTCCCCAAATAGTTATTGTTGTCATGGTTGTGGCTACTTGTGCGTTTGCCAAAAAATAAATCCAGCAAACTTCCTTATGATCATATTGTAACATCATAACTATGTTCCACACACACACACACACAGGCCATGTTTGATGCCACCCTGAAGGACAGAGAGACCAGTTTCAGAGCTGCCCCAGGGACGGCCATGTTTCTCCACTGGCTCGTCGGCATGGTTTATGTCTTCTACTTTGCCTCCTTCATCCTGCTTCTCAGAGAGGTGGGCTTTTTAAAAATCTTGTTAATGTGGTAGTTTGTTGTATTGGACAGATGTCCATTCAGCACTTGTGTAGTGTTGTCGCTTTGCCTTTTTGTCTTTAGTAACTCAGATGTATTAAAACTGTTATACTGAAAAACTTGAGGGGTGGTACTAGAGCTCAGTGTTAACCTCTGTCCTGACTCAGGTGGTGCGACCAGGTGTACTGTGGTTCCTGAGAAACTTGAACGATCCAGACTTCAACCCTGTGCAAGAGATGATCCACCTGCCCATCCACAGACATGCCCGCCGGTTCTTGCTATCTGTGGTACGGCTCCTCTTATCTCCTACTGTCCATACATTCATCTAATAATGAACCGTTATAAAGGATGCTTCCATGTATCCAAGCACAGAGGGCTACAATGAGCACTGTTGTACATTCACACATAAAATGTCCTTGTTTCGGGAAGGCCTGTATAGTTTTCATCAACAATTGTTTCTTTCCTTCCACAGGTTGTATTTGGCACTACAGTACTGCTGATGCTGTACGTCCCCATCCAGGTCATCAAATGGGCCTTCCCTACCTTCCTGCCATACCACGTCATGTTGTCCAGGTAGGTTCAGGCACCCATCTATGTTCTTCACCTAATCTTTTTCGAACTGAGACTTCAGCAACTGGCTTCCTTTGATTGCTTTGAGGCCTTGAAAGCTTCCAATTTCAGGTCAACAGTCCAAGCTGATTTTTTTTTCTGCTTTCTTTTTCCTCCCATTTTCTCCCTAAATTCCAAGTTCTCCCTAAACTCAGTAGGTCTACGCATGATTTTTCCTTCATTGCTGCCTCATAAGGACCTTTCTTTTTTGTCCCCTGTAGTGATGCACCTGTGAGTGAACTGTCCCTGGAGCTGCTGCTCCTACAGGTGGTGTTACCTGCCCTGTTGGAACAGGGTCACACACGACAGTGGCTCAAGAGCATGGTCAAGGTCTGGACTGTTGGGACGGCATGGATGCTGTGAGTTTCTTTGTAACATTTTGTAAGATTGTACACTGTATTTCATAACCTGGTCTAGAGGTACCAAGTTGTGTATTGCTAGCTGTTGTTTAATTGTTCTTTTTCCCTTGCTAACATTAACTGTTGTTTATGTAGGAACCTCCGATCATACTTGCTTGGGGATGTTCCAGTGGAGGAAGTACAGGTATGTCTACCATCAGTCTGAGAACCTTTTTTCTTGATGTAAACTCAATCTCTTCGGCTCAATTGCACCATTTACAAGTACTGTAATGCACTCATTAGTTGTATATGTTCTATCCCCAGGGTGTGTTGATCCGTGGTGAGGACAATGTCCAGCCTGGGAACAACCCTGCACCTGCAGGAGCAAACAACATTGACTTACAGGACGGGGGCTTACATGCTGCCCACCAGGCTATCCTACAACAGGCAGGGCCCATCGGATTCCAGCCATACAAACGGCCCAGATGGTTTGCATTCAGGGTAGGTGATGACTTATTGATCATATTGTGTAACCAACACTTTAAATTCTAACCTTTAAGAACTATCTAGGAGCATCATAGCTTCTTTGCCACTTGAAAAATTTGCTTATACACAGTGCTGTTGTGTAGTACTTACATGTTCTGCTAGGTGTCATCCATGCAATACAAAATAGTTATGCTGCTGTTATTACCTACTCCCTTGACCCAGTTGGTGCTGCTGGTGTTCCTGATGTGTGAGACTTTAGCCTTCACCAGCTTTGTTGGTCTTACTTTACCAGGTGGGTACAGATTCCTAATGCTAAGGTCCTGTTTAGTCTTTGACTTGTTATTTGAGGGGTGTTATTCAATGGAAAATGTACTGGAATTGTCATGGCTTTGAAGATAACCGCCATTTTAAAGGAAGAGATTAGAAAAGTATTCGCATGGAGTCCTAATTTTGGTTCTAGCCACTTTCTTGTTTGATCGAAATTCTACTGTGTTCAAGTTTTCCTCAATGATGTTTGTGTTGACAGTTGGTCTGGGTCGTGCCATGATGTCGGTGTGGATGGGGGAGGCCAAGGTACACGAGCTGTACACGGCAGCGTGTGGCCTGTACACCCTGTGGCTGGTGTGCCGCATCCTCTCAGTCATGTTCGCATGGGTACCACAGGGGTGGACAACCGTGGTCCGCAAACTCTCCGAATGGTCCATGATGGTGAGTAAGGTTTGATGCATTTTGTACCAAGTGCAACAATTGATGGTCAAACTTTTGCAGCCAGTCATTGTCATCTAGATATGGGTTGGTAATCCATGTTTTGAATATGTCTTCAAGTTATTGTAATATGATTTTCTATTTAGAGGCAAGTTCAAATCTTAACGAATGCTGTACCTTGCTGTTCCAGGCTATTAAGACGATAGTGCTGGCTGTCCTGCTGCTTGGTGCTGTTCCCTTGCTGTTGGGCCTGCTGTTTGAGCTGGTTGTTGTGGTCCCACTCAGAGTTCCCCTGGACCAGTCTCCACTCTTCTTCCCCTGGCAGGTCAGATCTCAGGACTTTTGTACCTGAAATCAATACAAATGAAAACACAGCTAAGCACAGTGTTAAGTTACAGCTGATGAAAAGATTTTAAACTGCTCTCTGGACCCATAATAGAAAAAAGAATTAGGTCAAAATGACAAAAAATTGTCTTTGAATTGAACCCATTGGCAGTGTTAATGGTTGAATGTAATGCTGCTGTGTGTTGTGTCCTACAGGACTGGGCATTAGGTGTCCTCCATGCTAAGATCATCTGTGCCATGACTATGATGGGCCCACAGTGGTGGCTGAAGAGAGTCATGGAGCAGGTCAGTATGGTTCTCTGGACCTGTGCACTGGAAATATCCTGATACAGAGTTCAGTAGAATGAGAAATTTACCTCTATCATCAACCCATTTACAGCACACTGTGAACGAGTATGGCTTTTCAATTTTCATAAGATCAAACCGAGATGATGTCTCTCATTAAATGTGTGTAAGTGAACAAACCATGTAATCTGACAGTGTTTTAGAGTAACATGGATGCAGAATGTCTTATGTATGTAATTGTATTTTCCAGGTGTACCAGGATGGTATAAGGAACATGAACCTCCACCTGGTGGTGTTTGACCTGGCCCTACCTGTCATCACCTGTCTGTTGTTCTGCCTCTGCATCCCCTACCTGGTAGCTGTGGGTGTGGTGCCTCATCTGGGTAAGACAAAGAAAAGGTTTAATGTAGTTTTGGCAATAGAAATAGAATGTTAAAAGGTCCATGCCATAACTTGAAACACGGTCTCAGGGGATAGCTAATACATGTGTAGTGTATACAGTCCATTAGGAATTGGAAATAAGCAGTAAAATTTCAATGGCACCTTCACAGGTTGAGTGGTGTTTGTGTGGACAAGAGGAAAGTTTGGTGGTAAACTTGCTGGTGACATTTTCACAAAGGGTATGAAAAAAGTAGGTCATTGAGGAGTACAGAAAACAGAGAGGCTCCTCTCTCAACAATGGGGACAGGAGAGTGGCCTAGATTTCCTAAGTGTCCTCTGTATTCACTCAATCTTAGATAGAAGTTTCCTAAAATACATTCTACATTCTGTATTACGATGTGTACGTAGCACTTATCCATCAGCTGTTTCAGTCGTCCCCACTACTTTTAAGTGCAGGAGTAGGGAGATCAAAGGCCAGAGTTTCTTTGTGCTGGGTTTATATAGCTCCAGTTATGGTTGTTATTAGACCCTGGAAGGTCTCCAGACACATTAGTGATGGCACTGCAAACTGTCCATTGTTTATACATGGTAATGAAGGGTTACACAACAAAGTGACCACTCTGCAACACAAAGGGATGAAAGGTTTATGTAAACAGCTTAACAGATGGTACATCAGCTACAAAATAGAAGAAAAATTTGTCCTTTTAACAATAAGAAAGCAGGTTTGTATGAACTTAACTGCCAAGACTGTGTGAAGGTATGATGATATAAGGTATGATTAACTTGCCAGATGGCCCGACTGCAAGTCCTGTAGGTCAGTACAGAGTAAACACGTGGCTTATCATGCTGCATGAAGTGCCCTTATGTAGTTTAGTCAGCAGGGAGATTGCTGCTATATTTCATCTGTAGGTCACAGGGTTTTATGAGGTATTGTTTGTAGCCTACATCTGGTGACTTTGTATGGGGTTGGACCAAGGTTGGACTGTTGTTTACCTCTTCAGATTGTTTGCAACGTGGAAGCAGTACAGAGAAAGTAGCAGGAAAGTCCCTGTATATCAGTGTCACTTATATTTGGTGCAAATCTGGACAAGAAAACATTATGTACTCACAACAAATCTGATTTTGTTTCTTCCCTGATGTTATATAGAGTCTGTTGTATATAAGCAAAGCTTTAATTCTTGGATAGTATTAGTCTAAAATTCAAGACCATAGTTATCATCATACATTTAGTATCTTCTGATGGATTACAAAGTGTAAGTGACATGAAAATGAAAATCTCTGTATTATACTAGGATTATGTATATTACTGATATGCTCAATTGTGATAAAATTTGTACATGATAGTCTACTGGTATTTATCTTAGGGAAAACGAGGAAAATTTGGTAAGTGGTTGGTAGTTGCTAGGCCTATGCACAAGGTTCTAATGTTAAAGAGTGTAGATAGAAACAAGAATGTTTACTTGATAAAGTCAGTTGTCCTGACCTGTGCCCCCCTCCCCACAGGTCTGGGAGGTGATGTGGAGGTACAGGTGCTGCGCAGGATCTACCCTTCCCTCCTGGTGCTGGTACTGGTGTCAGGACTCTTCACCTTCCAGGCCAGGCAGTTCAAACGCCTCTACGAACACATAAAAAATGACAAGTATGTGTCAAACAGCTGTTTTCTTTCACCCACACATGAAAACTAGGTCATTTGTGGTAACTAATACGCCAGTAACTAATTTGTCTTTATCAGGCATGCCTATTTTGGAATATCAAAGTGTGCCTCAATTTAACATTCCCAATTTTGACAAACTCTTTTCTTGCCTCCCATCAGGTATCTTGTGGGCCAGCGTTTAGTGAACTATGACAAGAACAAGAGAAGTCGTGAGTCCACCCCGCAGCAGAGAGTGGTGCACTGAGCTTTACTCAAGGGCTATTTGTAGAGGGGTGAGGGTTGGCATTGGGTGGGAGAGAGAACTTTGTTTTGGGTGGAATGAACATGTTAACAAACAGATATAATGTGAATCAGATGATATCTGTTAATGTTCAAGTACAAGCATGGGGATTATTGTAACAGCCCCACTAGAAGGTAATTTGTCTGGAATCATTAATTACTTCTCAAGCACACAGTCTAGGGCTGTAGAAATCCATGTACAGTGCAGAGGTCATTGATTTTCAGTTTTTAAGTCTCATTCTATTCTAATATGACTGCATTTGTCAGGTGGTTTTCATAGTCTGAATTTTACTGAACAACAGACATGTCTCACCACCAATAACTAGACAAAAAGGGAGCCAATCCAGCACAACAGACCAAACACAATGAGTCCAGCTGCAATGAAAAGAAGTAAAGTTTCCCTCAATCCAGTGTCAGAAGCTAATCTGAATTCAGAATGGTGCTGTAGTAGTAGCCACAATCATGCTTACTAACACAATGTACATACTGAAGTACAAGTTGAAGTGAATGTAGATGTAAGTGTAATGCATTTGTTTACCATATTGAGATGCTGTGAAGCCAACATGGACTATAGAAGAAAAACAATTACAGTTAGGAGAAGAACTCCAGATTTCTTGTTTGTCAATCTCTCAGCAAGTGAAATATCCGAACAACTAGTACCATCTTGGTCTTATAGGCAGGTGTAGTTGTGTGCTAGAGCTTTAAAAAACTACTGTCAGTCAAGCTTTTGTTGAAATGTCGGCATGTACTCATGTATATTCTTCTATGTCCATCAACATTGAATGTAAATGTTAAGGCATTGTTGTAATCGTCACAGTGCATCAAAAGCCTTCATTCAAAATGTTTGCATTTATAAAAGCCAAAGCCCAAGATACCTGTCATTTTTATAATTGCATTTATTGTTTTGATATTGAGGATATTCCTTTGGTTATGAAGAGGGTACATGATAGGAGAAAATTTACACTCCACTGAAAGATTGGAGAAGGTTTAGTGGGGAATTGTATCTGGGTTAAGAAGCAAAGTGTTTGAATGTGCATAACGGTGGCAAACCAGGCATGTGCAACATAATACTGATGTTGATAACTGTGTAAAAATCAACCCAACAGTGTTCAAGTTTGAAACCACAGAATTGTCACCAAATTTAGCAGCCACATCATCTTTGTCATGCAGATAATGAAATTTTTTGAAATATAAAAACAGAAAAGGGACTAAATAGCCATTATGTGACAGATGTAACAAGTGAGATAAGATTTGACCAAAGTAATCCTACTGTCTGTAATGACCATATGTTGTAGTTCAGGTTTGTAGCAGTAACAAATGTATAGTGTACCTGTACCTGTGAATTGCCCTTTTAAATATCTGCCAAACTTTAGACAAATTCTAGTATTGTAATGTAAATAAGGGGATGATGTTGTGTTAGATGGTTGTGTTAGAGGCTTATGAGATCTTTGAGTTGAAAGAAGTGAGTATGAAAAAAAGTTGTTTCAAGTTGTAAAAAGTCTTATTCACAACTGATGTCGTACTACTTACAATGTTGCATGCAGATGACTTTGATTTTCTTTATGAGTAAAGTTACATAAAAAATCTTGCATTTTTTCCGATTTTTTTAAAACTTAACTTTGGCTGAAGATATAAGGGATAGGTGTGGATATCTTTTATCCGTTTTCTGTCAGTGAAAAAGATGGGCATGTTTATCAGTGATTGTTACCTCTGTTATTGTATCAATGGCAGGGTAAAGAGTCTTCTATACGTTGATGTGTGTTAAGAAAATGACAAATAAAAAGACCAAATTTTATCTTTGACGACATATCTTAACTAAAAGCTAAATACATAACGCAACTTGTAAAACAAATCAAAGGAAAATAAATTGATTTGGGGCAAGTATGTCATTTCTTTAGTACTTTCAATTGTGCATGTTCGACAAGACTTTGACTATCTGAATCACCGAATAGAAATAGTACAGTAACTACTGTACAGTCCATGAAATCCAACAAAAGGTCTATCTGTGTTTTGTTCAGACTTCTGAAAAAAAGAGTGGCACCAGTCCAGAAAAACAACACACTGTCTCTTATAGACACGGCCACTTGTCCTCAAGTAAACTTTGCCGTCGTTAGATAACTTACGGGGGTCAATAAACTACTCACGGCATCGTTGGTTACTCGTCAGAAAACGTGTTGTTAGCACTTAATTATCGTTTTATGAACTTTACAGAATGATAAATGAGTGTTGACTCACTGTCGAGTAAACAGGACACTTACTATCACTCTTGGCAACTCACCACGCTAACTGGCACTTTACAGAAATATCAACATCGTCGGCTTAAGTCGAACAGGCACAGCAGGTGTTTTAAGATAAAACTTATCAATATCTGCCCAAAGTCAACTCCAATGTACCGGATACTGTCAAATACCTACCCCAATGTTAAGTATAAGTTAAACTTTGTTTTAGATTTTCTATAGATTTATAGTAACATTTTAAAGCCTATTTCCTTCCGTTACAAATAGAGAAAATGGAATTCAGATCTTGGAAGCCAGCATGTATCCTGAAGAAAGTTTCTTGCACGTGTGCTTGCGTTAAAATCTGCACATCCATTTTCCAGCTAGACCTTATTCATAGTCTCCGCTGTATCTTTTCATCTTCTATCGAGATCTTGACCCTTAAGCTTTGTCTCTGTGAATTAATACAATATAATAGTGTCCAAAGCTGAGTTTTGGTTTATCATAACATTGAAAATGAAGTGGAAATAAGTTTGCATCATAGAAAACAACCTGGAGCTAGAAGCCGCGACCCTGCATTTTACGAGAGAAACGTAGGCATTAATGAGATTCTGTGGGCCTGACACCGCCTTTGTCAGCGGTACTGAGTAGAACACAAGCGAGACAAGCGAATACTTCCCGCGCCCGTTCTTGTCGCGTAGACGTGCCTACAGCGTGTGACCAAGTCTCCAAAATATCCGCGGCCGCTCAGGTGATACCAGATCTGTCTACATCGTGATAAAGTATACATCATCAAGGCTTTTAATAGCGCTAATCGGCTGTACAGTTGTAATCACTTTGTAGCTGCCTGTGATGTATTGTTGAAGTGTTTACTCGTGCTGATAAGGGGATTTAAGCAGTCCAGTTTGAAGCGCGGCGCTCTCCAACTCGCGTAGGCGGTTTTACAGCTCGTCTACTCCGCGGACTTGGGAGCATTTCGACAGCTCATCTGAATACTCTTTCCAGTCGGTTGTAACATTCTATCTGTATCCAGAACAGACGACAGCGTGTCAAGACTACTGGTGACTAGTAAGAGAAGCGCCTTCTGTGATCCACCAGTGACATGATCTGGCGTTACTAGGCGAGGCTGGAGTCACTGATTACAGACTGGTTGCCAAGGAGTTAGTGACATTTTAATGGCGATATTTGTGCGGCCAGTCCTCCTTTGTTGATGCATCATTACACATCTATTCTGGAATCTGGCGACAGACATCTGATCAGCTCTCCGTGTACGTCCAGCGTACTTATCGTAACTTTGGAGACCGATCCCTTCGGCACGATGGAACGGAGCGCCCGAGGAACCAGGAGCAAGGCTCCGGCAAAAGTCTGGTTCCACATCTTCGTCAAACTTCCCCGTGGTTTGATGACATCGCTGAGAGTTCATGCAGACATGACTGTAGGAGAGGTACAAGGCATGGTGGAGGAAGCTAGCGGCATCCCGTGCGACGTTCAGAAGGTGACGACTTCGCAGAACAGCGGTCCTGACAAGGAGCTTCTCCTGGGCCAGCTCGGGCTCCGGGCGGGCTCCACCGTCAGCGTGTGTCCGGACGATCGGTGGCGGGATGTGTTCGGCGCGGCTATGGTGGGGGACTACCGGCTGGTCCGTCGGTGTCTGGACGGGGTGGCGGAGGGAGAGACGCGGACGAACGGACGGTTCTGCGCGATGTTCCTGGCCGCACACCGCGGACACCTGGATCTGCTGCAGAAGTAAGTGATCGCCCATTAAAAATTATATTACAAAATAAGTGGGAAAAAATCCTGCTTTTTCTGTTGATCAAATTTAGGGACCAAACTTCTAACATGGGAACATGCACACATGGCCCGGCCGTCATGACTTTGTTCAAGCACAAACGTACAAAAACACGCTTTTAAGTTCACACAGTCGCCTTTCTTCAGCACAAAAATCGCCCAGGCTTTTACCTCCCTATTCAAATATACGTCAAGATAAGGTTTGTTGCAAGATTCCTTGCATTGTTTCAGTAAATAACATAACACAGCACTTACATCTCAGCAACAGTTCTAGTTGCTCGTCTCGTAACATACATTTTGTCTTGAATCATAACAAATCGTACAGATGATGCCATTTGTTTCATTGGCCCAGTACTGTGGTGAAACTATTTTTGGTCGTCAATATTTGAATACAAACTTTTAATATTCCTCGATATCTTCATATTACATGTAATAACCACCGTCCTGACATCAGAAAACGTGTCCTTGAACTCTTCTAAGTTTGTTCATATGTTACTTATCAGTATTTTCGATGATAGCAAGGGGCACAAACTTGGGTGGAAAAGTCTGTGGTGTCACCTTTGAGTACGTACATAAACAGCCTCGTAACAAAAGTCCCTGATGGTTCAAAGTCAGAAAACAACGTCTGCAGCTAAAGCGCAGAATGGACACACATTGAGTCGACTACACGTTCTATCATTGTCTAGGTCAGAGAAGTTCAATCTTTTATCTATCCACCTTCATACAGCCGCCACGACTCCAGCACAAATAGTATATTATCACTTTGAAAAAGTAATTTTATTCCCAGTGAGGTCATTTTGACGACGGGCATATACTACATGTCCTGGTACGTACAGGTCAGAGTCACAGACGCGCAAAATACCATGTAAAAGTTTAGCTAGCATAGTGCTGAAACAATGACAGGGCGTCAACCATAGCTGATATAGCTGGCAAACGACAGATTAGGGTCCCCCAATATTTATTTTCCAAACATAGCCTTCCTTGTAAACTTAATAATCACGATATTGTGGCATCAGACAAGACCTTGGTTTGACTGTGTTTCCACCACGCCGTGACCACTTATCTTGTTGTGCCTCGTGCCAGGAAAACACGTTGCCGTTGCCAGATACTTTTGAAGTCAGGTTTAATTTATGTGCATTAATTACGGACGGTGTGTCAACACGCCGTAAAGTGTGTTACCACGGGAGATCTGTGAGCCCTTCGAGCAGCTGCTGACCTTTCGCGCCGGAGACGCAAAGAAAAAGTCAAGTGTCGTCATGAATAGGTTGTCCCGGGTCATCCCTGACGGATGGGGGAGGGCGTTCTTTCAGACTATTCAAGTGGCCTGCGTCAGCTATGGAGATCGTGGTGTGGTCCTGACGTCATCTTGTAGCCTCTCTGCGCAATTCTGTAAATAGATCGTCGGCAACACGTAACACCATCGTTCTGCTGACGCGCACGGATTCGACGGGGTATATTTACAACGTTTGGTGTTCGTCAGCTGTAGGAATGTTTGAAAAATGTTTCAAACTTGTAACGCAAAACTGTGGCACGTACTTTATAGACCTGTGATAGGCTACTTTAGTTGCAGATACTGCTTCAAAGTTAGTAAAGTTACACATGTTACAAACCATGCAAACCCTGCGTGTGTCGCTAGGAGCGCCCCTTGCATGATCAATGCATTTTATTCTACGTCCCGTTCAGTCTTTCTGAGCGGATCGATGAATTTGCCTCAAACTAGTTTAGCTAAAATCTCGAAGGGAAGTCCTAATCGTATAATCAAATTGTGTGTGCCAGAATCAGGAAAACTGTAATTGCACTATTGACTCGACAAAAATTAGTCCCATGGCAATATTTGACCAATGGACAAAGATCCTCACGACCCCACAGCCAGTATCAGTGATCCAATTTTGAGCTTCATCCACTGACACGCACTGATCCATCTCACATCAGCTCCAAATACCAAATGATATCGATTCGTGAAACTACGAGACGGTATTTCAATTTCTTCGCTGCCCGCAGGCAACAGAACGTTACCGCTTAAAGAGTTTCTTCCCATGTGCACAGAAGCCGACTGATAAAGACTAGCCTAAGGCCGAACTAATTAAGTTACGTCGTAATTTAAAACTACATGTTGCCCGATGGGGCGTTAACGAACAGTCTGTCTAACTTCTGGTCGTGCCCACCATACTGCCCAAGCTGTAATTTTGTAATAAGATTATTTGGATTTTAAAGATTCGACTAAAGCAATATATCTTTCAGAGATAAGAAATACGAAACCTCCACAAATGGTAACTTCATGACTTACAAACGCCGGCTCTGGCAATAAAAAGACCCAGGCTATCGAAGGTCTGACACCGACGGCAGCTTGTGGATTGATTCGCGGATACGTCCGTGCGTTTTTGCCGGTTGGGCGGGCCATGTGCGACCCCGGGCCAGCCGGGAGATAATGAACCCCGCGGTCCAATACTCCGGCTCCTCCACACACACACGGCACATCGACCTGCTGGGTGTGGTTCACTAGATACAGTCATCACAACACACACCGGTATTTCTATTGACCAGCAAAATCCATAGGTATCATAAAATGATCCAAGACACAACCGACGTTTCAATTCTGACTATCCTTGTGGAAATTTTATTGACAGTTTTGTGAAGATTAGTCATGGGTTTGCATCACGCATGAGGTCAAATTCAGATACAAAAATATTTAGATACAAAAATATTTAATGCCCGTGATATGATGAATCATCTGAGACGATAATCTTATATATGTAACGCTAACGTCACCATAGCTGTGAAGGGTGGGGCAGTTGCGTCATATGTATCATATTTCAACGGATCTCCACCGGAAACGTCCGTTATAAAGCACTTCATATTTATTGGCTGTGATAATGGGCATGACCTAAATCATATATGAGGTAATTACTGCAGTAGATCAGCTTGATTAACGGCCTTGGAGGCATTTAAAAGTGGATGCACTGCGTCATATCCTGGGGGAAACGTGATGATGTATTTAAAGTATCTACAAACATGTTATATGTACTCATATCCCAGTATCGTTCATCGGCATCTCTGGGAGAAACACCCATGTCGTAAAACGCGGATTGAAAAAATCAACAACAACAAACTATTTTATGGAGGAAAGTTAGAATTCCAAAGATACGAAAGGTTAAAAGACTAAATACCACTGATTGCGAACCATGCACGGAAGCAACTAAGAGCGAATGTTGACCGAACAAAGCGGCAGCGTCTTGTTGGAAAATCCGTCCGCGGATTGTGATAATCCCTCGGTGCCTCCCCCCATCCTTCTCTGTCTCTATCAACAAGACTATGCAGTCCGCGTGATTGGGGAGACCTTCAATTAACCCAGGAACACAGGGGTAAAACCGTGTCTATGGGGATCCTCTGCTTATTGACCTGGTTTGCTGGCTATGAAATATGGGAGCGGGTACATGTTGGAGGCCTCCCGTAAGGCTATGGTGGTGAGGACGGTGGCCGGTCTTGCTGTAAGATAATCTCCAAGCAGATTCCTTCTGGTGGCAAGACAGTACATTGTATCCATTAGCCAGAGGAGTTTGTACGGCCACCGAAGCTGCATGACTAATGAAGACTCCTCTGTCCAATGGACACTGCCTTGCCACCATATGATCTGCTTGGATATTACTGTAAGAAGCTACGCATCTCCGTTAATAGTAAGCGACATTTTTAGGGCTAACCATCATAAACGTTTCGACTGTTGTTTGTTCTCTACTTTGGCGTTGCTCGCCCCCTAGACATTCTTGACCCGTCACTAGCAGCCACAACCTCTCTTCCCCTACTTGAAGTTCAGAAAAAAGACCACACCTACTGCTGTAAACTTTTGCTGCAGTCTCAGCAACAATCCTTTACCAGAACAGCCACAAAGACTCAGCAACTTCACGTCGTCCTTCGCGACCTTGTCCAACTCTCGGGTTCAGTGAACTGCCAGTCGCCCGCGGGGAGTTCCTGATTGGACACGTTCTGGACTTGATACATGACTCTAGCCCGTGGTTCTGTCCTTAACACTCTCATCTCATTCTACAACGTTTCCATTATAGTCGGCGGGAATTGGATTGGTGTACTGTTGCTTATGGACTGTCGCCGGCTAATGCTGCACGTGTATTGATCGGGAAACACGGCGACTGTGAAGAGTTTTATATAGAAATCGATCAGTCTTAATCTCCCATTATGTTAGAATTATAGCCCTCATGAACTAGTCGTTCAGGAACGCTATTTCCCCTCGTACTTCGTTTACTGATTGATACATGGAGCATATCTAAAACTTTCCAGTCACAGTGGATTAACGCTATAGCAACAGTAGCACCATGATCGATTCCAATCTAAAATCTCCTTACTTTGTGTAGGAAGGCACTTTTGCTTAGTACTTAGGCTTTTAAAATATTAGCTATCTCAGCAGTATGCCGCTAGTTTCACCCCTAGGTGATATGAGCATCATCTATCAAGTAATAATAGTGGGCAATTCACGCACCTTTGAATACAGATAGATTGTCGAATATCCCCACATAACGGGAAGAAAAGGGGGCATCGGGCACGGCAGCGGCGCTTTGTTCATGCCCATACGGACGCTTCTATTGGCTATTCCAGACTTGCCCTTGCAGTTCTTCATCCATCACACCTGAAAGACCTAGTGAGCAACTTTGTCTTCTTACAGGGCATCCATCATATGTTGTTGGGGACAGGCCTAGGCGGTCGTCTGCGCGTGATAATCCAAATAAATTTCAAACGCCAAGACTCCTCCCTGAAGGGGGTTACAGACGCGCAGACGGCGGAAAATTGGTTCGACTGAGCCAGGTCGTTTATCGGGCGGCATCTGTACACAGGCGGGCCGGCTCAACAAACTTGCGCAATGTGCGCTGTTTTCTGCTTGATTTATTCCTACCTTTCACTTTACTTCTAAAGTGGCCAACCGATTCTGAA